TCCGTTTTGTCTTATACAGGTATTGCTATCCCAGCTTTTTTGTGTGTTTGTTTCCATTTGAATGAAATCTCTCTTTTCATCCCTTTAGTCTGTGTGTCTTTTGATCTGATATGGGTCTCTTGTAGGCAACATATGTACGGGTCTTGTTATATGATTTTGGTTTTTTAGAGAGAGAGGAAGGAAGAGAGAGCTAGAAACATCAGTGTGAGAGAGAAACATCGATCAGCTACCTTCTACATCCCTCCCACTGGGGATCGAGCCCGAAACCCCCAGGCTTATGTCCTGGCTGGGAATTGAACCAGGACCTCTCAATCCATGGGACAATACTCAATCCATTGAGCCACCAGCCAGGCCCACAATCACTTTTGATTGGAGCATTTAGTCCACTTTCATTTAAAGTAATTATTGACAGGTATATAGTTATTGCCATTGTATTATTCATATTTTTTTCTTCTTAAAGAAGTCCCTTTAACATTTCTTGTTATACTGGTTTAGTGATGATGAACTCCTTTAACTTTTTCTTGTCTGGGGAGCTATTTATCTCTCTTTGATTCTAAATGATAGCCTTACTGAGTAGAGTAATCCTGGTTATAGATCTTTGCTTTTCATACTTGGACTATGTCATGCCAGTCTCTCTGGCCTGCACAGGGGCCCCTGTGCACATGCTGCGGCTCCCGCTCCTCCAGGCTCCATGCTTCCCTCAGCTCCCGGTGCTCTTGCGGTTCCCGCCTTCTCTGTGTGGTCTCTCGTTTGGTGTGCAGATGCTCTTCATTCGGCCCTCAGTTGTGTCTCAGGACGAGTTGCTCTAATTCTAGGTATTCTTGTGATACGTCTTTGGGGGGAGGCAAGCTCAACGCCCTCCTATACAGCCATCCTGAACCCTTGAGTTAGGATTTGCCGGAATGAAATCCTCAGTGAGCAGAGGAGTGTGTGTGAGAAAGGAGCAGTACAGAAAGAAGTAAAAGAAAAAAGGGATTACGAAAGTGAAATATCAATTCATGTGGCTATTGAAGTTAGCGGCTGTTGGATTTGGAAGAATATTGGTTTGTAACTGAAGGCTTTCCATTCATTTGAATCCAAAATTCTGAGAGATAAGTTTTGAGATCACCTTCAATCAACCTACTTCACAACTTTGACCATTTTGCTGAAAGCTCTTTTGGCCACATTTCTATCTTACAAATAACTTTTTGCACTGATTTGGAAGGTCCTAACGACTGAGAACAAGCAGTTTTGTTTTTTTCTCACTTCCTTTTAGTTTCTCTCAATCTGTGGACTTATTTTTCTTTTCAAAGAAAGAAGCCAAACCCAGAAGTAGAACCAAAGAAATGAAAAGCATCATGTTTTAGGAGAAAAAAAGACATAAGAGGCAATGTTTGTAACTGTTAATGATCATATTGACTTCCTTATAATAGTTAAGGCACTTGAATTTTCTGCTTTTGTTTGTTTCCCCTTTGGGGGGAAAATATGAATATATAAAAGACTGTAGTAGTATAACTTATAATCTGCTTCCCCTCCCTCCCATCTGTAATTATGTTGTTGATCACACAAATACTAAATCATTAAATTCTATTCTAGAATTATGATTCTTTCTAAAGTACATTTTAACAAGAGCCTTAAAATGTCTATAGCTTTGACTTAGAAATTCTCTCTTTGGCATCTGTCCAAAGGACATAGTAAAAAGTATCACATTTTTAATTGCCAAATACTGAAAACAGCCGTATCTCCAACAAGAGAGGACTTAATGAGTAAATTGTGGTACAAACAGATAGTGAAATATTATGCAGCCACTAAAAATGACTTCTGAAGAGTATTTCATGATGTTAGGAAATGCATATGTCATAGTGTTAAATAAAGAAAACAGCCCTGGCCGGTTTGGCTCAGCGGTAAGAGCGTCGGCCTGCGGTCCTGAGAGGCCCGGGTTCGGTTCCCGCTAGGGGCATGTACCTCGGTTGCAGTTTGTCCCCGGCCCTGGTTGGTCGTGCGGGTGGCAGCCACTCGATGTGTTCCTTTCACATCGGTGTTTCTCTCTCTCTCTCTGTTCCTCTCTCTCCCTCCCACTCTACCTGAACAACAACAAAAAAAAAAAATGGGAAAAATGTCCTCGGGTAAGGATAAAAAAATAAAAAAATAAAAAGAAAACAGATTATTTCCCGGCCGGTGTGGCTCAGTGGGCTGAGTGTCGTCCCCTGGACTGAGAGGTCCTGCTTCGATTCCCAGTCAGGGCACATGCCTGGATTTTGAGCTTGATCCTTGGTGGGGGGCATGCAGGAGGCAGCCGATCAATGTTTCTCACATAGATGTTTATCTCTCTTCCTTCCGCGCTCTCTAAAAAAATCAATAAAAACATATTTTAAAAATAGCTTGATAGAGGTTGATGTATTTGGAAGAAACACTGAGAAAAGTGCTTTGTATTGCTGTATCTGAATGATAGAAGAGTTATGACTTACTTTTTTTGTATTTTTCTAAATTTTTAAAATTTTCTACAGTGTGCCCACATTATTTAGATTTTACTGAGATGTATTAAAATTTTTTAAAGATTAACGTAAAATATACTCCACCCCAGAAATATGCAAGGATTTTAAATGAGTTGAGTTTTCCTGGTAATTTGTAATTTTGTGCATTATTTCCAGGTCAACTGGAGAGACAGCAGTCACTGCTTTTGAGATTGACAAGATGTACACCCCTCTGTTCTTTGCCCGAGTGAGGAGCTACACCGCTTTCTCAGAGAGGCCTCTGTCAGTCAGTGTGCATGAGTAAAGGCATATCGCGCGGAAGAGCACTAAGTTATAAATGTACATATATATATATATCTGGAATTGGAACTTATTTTGCATTGTTGGAATTCTTTTAAGAAGAGTATAAATTGATTATTTTGTTTTTATTTAAAGGGATAGTTGATTCTTGGGGTGTTTTGAATTAAGAAGTTGAAATTATAAGTTGTTTAAACACATTTATGTTGTGAAAAAGCGTAATATGAGCTTTAAATTATGTCCTTTTTCAAGCAGATTTCTGTCACATAAGCCTTCTGCCTGATCCTCCCAATGTTTAATGCGTCAGGAGAGAGCTTTATTGGATAAGCATTTCTTTCACGCATGACATAGTGTCCTTGCACTACAGGCGCAAAATGTGAAAACCTCTTCTGGATTTGTTTGAAACTGTTTGACCAATAAAGATTACAAATAAATTTTTCTTTCAAGAAAATGTATTTGGATGACCTTTTTAAAACATCAGAATAATAAACAGTCCCAGGGTAGCCAGTGAAGGCTCAAGAGTCATTTCTTCATTTCATCATTGGCTTTTATATGTAGCCACAGACCAGATACCTATACTCTGACCTCATCCAAGCACCTTACAGATTATGACATTACATGAGATGACACTAAGTGAGAAAGAGTGGACCCCTCAGGACTGGAACACTCCAACAAGATGAACTAGGCGTCGTCATTCCAAAGGAACAGGAGGAGATCATGTGAACCCAGGCCTACCCTTTTCCAGAATTAAAGTTGGGAGAGAGCTAGTGATCAAGTAAACTGTATGTTACCTCCCAAGTCACAGTACTAGTAAAGTTTCAGAGTTTGTCTGGCAGCCGTCTACCATGGATTCAGGTTTCTTTTTGTGATTCAGACATACCTTCAGTCCGTCCTCATGTTTTCTGAAATCAACATCTTTCAAGTTCATGTCATAGTTAAAAGACACTTCACACATTCCTGCAATGAGTATGGAACAGGGCTCTTAAAAAGCAAATACATGTTATGTTAAAGATGAAAAGTGCCCAGCCAGTGTGGCTCAGTGGTTGAGCGTTGACCCATGCACCAAGAGGTCGCCGGTTTGATTCCCGGTCAAGACACATGCCCAGGTTGTGGGCCCGATCCCCAGTGAGGGGCATGCAGGAAGCGCCAGTTGATGTTCTCATCGATGTTTCTATCTCCCTCTCTCTCTAAAATCAATAAAGAAAAAATATTGTTAAAACAAGATGAAAAGCAAACATGTTTAGTGTGTGTGTACAGAAAGAAGAGAGTTCTACTTAGCTGGCTCTTTGCAGCCATCAGATGTGATATGTTCCTCAAGTTAGAAAAGTGGGAGGAAGAAGCAACATGCCTAAGACAAGGCAGGTCTTCATGACATGACTGTTAGTTTTGGTGTACAAGTTAGAACATCTGATTAGGACATAGCAAAGTATAGCTAGAAAAATATATTCCTAAGGAAACTGGAATTTGAAGTCTGATTTGCCACCTGCCCTTGAATTAAATAACCGGTTGCTGACAGCCAGTCGATACCAAGTTCAAATGTTCCTTCATGACCACTAAAGCAACTTGCAATAATTATTTAGCTTGCAGAGCTGAAAATAATTTTTATCAGTTTAAATTTTTTGTATATTTGAATTTTTAATACAAAAGCAATAGATATTTATTGTGAGAATATTAGACTGCAATGATTAAAAAAATAATCCTAACACCCAAAAGAGCAAATCAACTCAATTGACCAACCGGTAGTAACAGTGAGACCCAGCAGGAAGGATCCCCTGTGAGGCAGGAAAGTGAAGGGCAGACAGCAACTCTACTCAAAGACCCACAGATACTGAGATTGAGGGGCTACAACGGAATAGGTTCCCTCCTTCACTTCTTAGTCGATGAGCCACCCCCACCCACAGACCTAGGTCCCAGTCAACATGGAGTGCCTCACTGAATATCAGTGGACATGTAAGGAACACCAGGCACATGAAGATAAAGTCTACAACACAAAGAGAATCAACCTTATTAAACAAATGGAACACAAAGGAAACCAAGGTCAGGTGGTAGAAAAAATTTAAAAACAAACCAAAATTACATATCTTATTATGAAAGAAATATATCCATGAAACAAGAACAAGAGACTGTATAAAAAGATCTTTCGGATATTATGTAATAGAACTCTAAACATTTCTGACAAAACAATGTAAAAACTGGAAGTTACGGTGGAAACCACTTATTGACCACCCACCCCAGTGTGGAGGCGAGGAGATGGGGAATGGGAAGGTGAGGGGGTCCTCCTAAGGTGGGCAAACCAACCCCAACACATTCAAGGACGAGACTCATACAAAGTGCCTGATCGTAGGAAGGGCTCAGTAAATTTCATCTTAAGGGTCATTAAGAGTTTATTTGTAAATAATACCTCAATAAAGCCGTTTTAAAACAATTAGGAGCTTTTATGTGTTTAAGTGTGGAGCAAAAGTCTTAAGTTTATAGGCGTTACTGCCTTTTGCTCACAACACAGGCATTTTTGTCCCATATTTTAAATAAGAAAGTAGAAGTTATGAGAGTTTAAATAAACTTGCTCAAGCTCACCCCGAGGGTAGAGCAAGGATGATTCTGGAACGCTTGCTTGAAGCCAGAGCCAGGAGCCCAGTTCTAAAGGAATCTCATAAAAACTCACATGTTATAATTCCCACTAGAGCTGAACCAATGGCTTAGACCAGCGCTGCCCAATTCAAACATAATTTGAACTACATAGGTAATTCTAAGATTTCTAGGGCCACCTTACTAAAAAATAAAAAGAAACCGGTGAGATTCGTTTGCGTAATATACTTTAATCCAGTGTATCCAAGAGTATCATTTGAACGTAATTTCAATATACACATGGTTAATGTATTTTTTTACACTCTTTCGATTCTAAATCTTTGAAGTCTGTAGTGTAATTTACATTTGCAGCACATCTTCATTCAGATTCACTATGTGTCAAGTACTTGACAGCCACACGCGGTGAGTGGCCACCACAGGGACCGGCTGGTCACAGAAAGGGAGAGCAAGGTTTGTGCCTGATGCAGCCCTCGCGGTTTCCCACCCGTGCAGCTGGCCAGCCGAGACGGGCAAGCCAAGCATGTAGTCAGCGAATTTCCACTTCATCTTAGTCTTTCTTAGCATCTCTGTAACCCATTCCCTGACTCCACCAGAAAGTGTCCTTCGTCTGTGTCCAAAATGCCCCCCCACCGTACCTCTGTCCTACTGTCACTCCAGTCTAAACCCTTTACATGTCAGTATCCCTCCACCAGGCTCCGGGTTCTTTGAGGACAGAGGGCATTCCTTTGAAATTCCTGATTCCAAAGCACAGGTGTGTTGAGAACATGAAGTAAAAAGAATTCCTCGGGAGCACTGGACTCATTTCAGGGGCGGGAGATAACCAGCTTTCTAGAAAGGAATGAATGCAAGCAAGCTTTTGCCACTAGGTGACACTCTTGTCCCACCCCTTTGTTTTTGCTTTCATTCTCAGGGCTAGGGGGATGCTGGTTTTCACATTCACAAGAAAACAGGAACACCCAAATTCTTATGATTGGCCTTCAAAGATGCACGTGATAGGATCTAAGAATAAAGGTGTGTGTCTGACATCTAGGTGACAGAGTCCTGACTCCTGTCTGGCTGAGCTTCCCAATATCTAACCAAGGAATCCCAGTTTCCTTGGCCAGATTTTTTCTTTTTAATTTTTTTAATTGATTTTTTAGAGATAGAGGAACAGAGAGGGAGGAAGGGGGAGAGAGAGAGAGAGAGAAAGAGAGAGAGAGAGAGAGAGAGAGAGAGAGAGAGAGAGAGAGAGAAACATCGATGAGAGAGAACATCGGTTGCCTCCAGCATGCCCCCCATTTGGGGATTTGGCCCACAACTTGGGCCTGTGCCCTGACTGGGAATCGAACCAGCAACTATCTGGGCAGAAAACCTTGGCTGTTTGAGAAAATTGAATATCCTGTTTTAGAATGAATAGGAAAGGGATCCTGGGATAAATCATCTGGGGGTCAGGAGGGAGCTAGGGAAGATGGGAAGGGGCAGAAGAGAGGCCAGCCAGTTGCCATTTGACAAGCAAATGGCCCAATTTGTGACTCTTTCATACTTGGGAGGCCCCAGGCCCCCTTCCCGTAGTCTTCTGCCCAGGGCAGAGATTGGGTACATCGCTATTAAATCCACTCAAAGCTTCTGCATTTGCACTTTCTTCTTGTGACTCCCATAGACATTTGGCAGTGGAATTCAAATTCACAAAATCATGATTGTTCTAAGAATGCCAACTGACACCAGAACAGTGTGCATGTGTGTATGCATGTGTGTGAGTGCATGTGTGTGCGTGTGTGTTATGCAGCAGATTGAGAGGGTAGAGTGTCAACATTTCATCAGCAGGATAGGCTTCTTTCTGACGAAATGGATTTCTGTGCAGACTAACTTTCTTCAAACACTAGAGTATTTATTGTGTGCAGTAATTTGAAACCAGGTTATAAGCAAAGTGACCGTATAAGTCAATTGATTGTCAAAATCGGGGCAACTTTGAGTGGAAAGACTGTGTTTTGTGATTACACTGGGACAACAAGCATAAACCCGGGCTGTCCTGGGCAAACCGGAATGCATGGTCATTCTATATACACGGTATTGGCTCTTCACCAGCGTTTCATCAGATTTAACTTGGAATGAAGGCTACTTGTTCTGTTCCAGATGTTTTTCTGCTTCATGACAGAAAAGAAGAAAGTGTCTTTGGTGTTTCCCAGGGTAGAAAGACAACTGCCATTGGACCCTGCTGATTTCCCTCAGAATACTCGACTTCTGCATCGGCGGACAGAGATTTTGGTGCCAAGAAGCAACCGCATTGAAAAGTACCACATTTGTATTTGGTTTCTACTTTCCTCATGTCTGTGCTTGACTTCAGTCTGATTTCTTTCATGCCTGGCTAGTTGCTCCTGGGCCTGGACCTATGAGGCCAGGTTCATGTGGATGGTTGCTGAGAGGGATCTTCCCTTGCTCATAACTCGCATTGCCTTGAGGTAGATATCTAGAAGCAAAGTTCCCCCCGCCTCGTTCCTCCTTCATTCCCATCTGTGAGGTGCCTCCCCTGCATGATCACCTAGGGAAATGGATTCATTGGGAGCTCTGGGTATGAGGAGCTAGCTGCATGGTGTGGCGCAAAGGACACGAACTCGGAGCACCCAGCACACAGCCTGACATGTAGTAGATGCTCAGTAAATGTGCGCCACCTTCCAATCAGACCGTCACAGTTATCACCTGCAGTGGAGGGAAGTCTCTGTGGCCTTCTCTACCACCACAGCACCCGAGTCACTCCCTGCCCAGGTTCACCCATTGCGAGCTTACAGGAGTGGGTGCTAATACCATTCACAGCAAGTGATAGCTACGCACACGGGGGCTCCTCTAGATGAGGGGTCTTTCAATTATGCATCCTTCAAAACTCAATTCCTCTGAGTCCCTGGAGCCCAAATAGGAAAGAAAGGATTGTATCCCCCTGACACGAAGGGGTATGTTGTTCCCCTAACTCAGAACTTAAAGGGAGAGGTAAGGAAATGGCATAAACCAATGGAATGACCCTGGGCTTGGGAGTTGAAGAGCCCTGGGTTTGAACTCCCACCCTTACCAGCACTTACTATCTTAGTCGAAGTCACTTAACACCTGAAGCCTTATTTGAAAACTAGGGAGAATGATAACTACCCGTGGGGTTGCTGTGACAATCAGATACTACAGATGTTAAGCCCCGGCACATAGCAGGTCCTCTCTATGGAAACTGTTATTAAGTAGGATTTTCTAACAGAACAGTAACAGTCGGGTGAGTGAGGGCGATAGTTCTATGACTGTGAGCCCCCAGAAGTAAGATGCTAAAATCATATCTTGAAAAAACACTAAGACTATACTTGTGATCTCTCTCAACTGGGTAGTTTATACAAGAAATCCCCTTAGACCAAGGCAAGGAAGTGTGTGTCAGACTGAGGACTGGGCTTGATCAGTTGCTGGTAGTTGCTCAAGGGTCATTGAGTAAGACTCTGCTGCTAGGTCTGAGCCAGTAGGGAGGCTGCCAGCAAGAACTGGGAGCACATAATCACCCTCTCTCTGTTCCTCACCGGCCGGTGGGTAAGACTGCCCCTTATACATACAAGAGTCTGGAAGTCTGGAGCAGCCGCCAGGCCTTGGGTAGCTTAGGGGGAAATAAACAGAAGTCAGTGATGCTCCCAAGGCTGATACAAAGAAAAAGATGTGGAAGTCCATGGGAAATCCTTGATAGCATGTTAGGCAAATGTCAAGAATTTCTCTACAGGAACAGCCTTCCTAATTCTTCTCAGAAGGGCCTGAGACACGCCTGGAAGAGTCAAGAGAAAATTAGAAGATTAAGAAGTTCACAGAGCGGAAGGAGAGGGAAAGCATAAAAGAATACAAGGTCACATTCAGGCAAATGCCCAACCTTGTCCTTGGGAACATTTGTTTTAGAAGCACAAGTTTATAACCCTTGAGCCAAAATGGCCAAGAGCAAGAAAGCTTTGAATGTCCCTAAATTCAATGTCTCTTCCATAACCCCAAATGGCCTTTTTTCCAATTGCTAAGTGATACCGCAATACATCTATTCTGAGAACTCTAATCTTGAGAAGACTTGAGTAAGACAAAGTGCAGCCCGGCTCTTACTTAAGGATAGAGTACAAAAGATGACCTTTATAAGGGTCATGGAGACTATAAATAGAAAATCCCTGTTCCTAGCCTTCCTCACCCCACCTCCCACCCCCTCGAATGCAACAAGAAGGAGAAGTACCGAAGCGGAAGTGGTAATTTCAGACAAGTCCTGAGTCTGGAAAAATAATCTGGAAGAACGTGAAGAATCAGGAGAAATAGAAAGGTCAACAAATTGTGTCTTAAGTAGAAACAAGTTTTGGGACAGGCTTTTCTTCTGCTGCTAAGGTGGTCAAGAAGCAGATTTCTTGGAGTGTGAGGACTCCACGTGGCCCCCACGTTGCCCCCACCTTTCCTGTTGCCTGTACCTTTCAGGGTCGGCCATCACCGGGGGAGGATGGACAGCTCTCTCCGCATCCTTCCGGGACAGGAACATTCCTTGTCCTGCCTTCCTATCCTTTCCATTGACACAGCAGAATGGGAAGCATCTGTGAATTTTCCAAACTTTTTGAAAACAATACTGAAAAGTAAAGTTTGCAGAGCCTGGTTCAATTTGAGAAGATGTAGGTTCTAGACTCAATTCTTTCCTTCCTTCCTTCCTTCCTTCCTTCCTTCCTTCCTTCCTTCCTTCCTTCCTTCCTTCCTTCCTTTTATTTAGAAAATGTATATTTAAAAAGTTGTTTTTCCTGATTATAGAATTAATATACCAATTTTGGAAAGTTCAGAGAGGCATTCTTAGTGTTTCTTTGCCGGCTTTTCACCAGGAGCAGTGCTGGCTGGGTGTGGGATAGGGGGGTGAGGGTGAGTGGCCACAGTGGTGAAAATGGGGTGCTGGGAAGTGAATGTTTGTGAGCAAGGTGTAAGTTCAATGCAGTGCAACTGTTGATGTGGTAACACTAATTGTTGGCCTGGGGAATCATTTGATGAAGATTATACTTCTCTAATGTGTCATTGCAAATAGCTAGGTCTTTCACCAACTGTAATTACTGTTTTTCACGGTTTGAGAAACATTGTTTTTCAAAGCCTAGTTTCCTCATTGGTACAGAGGGGAGACTTCTGTTTGTCCCAGATACATTGTGTCAAGTTCCCTGCAAACTAAAGATGAAACAATTATATTAGAGCCTAAGTATTGCAACATATGCAGACAGGGCCACTCAACCTTGACATGGACCCTACCCCTCTTCTTCACTGCTAGACCAAGGTAGACAGTGACCCCCTGATTTAGTGTGATTGAGGAATACAGAGGGAAAAGTCTCGGGGCGAATCAGCTAAGACTAGCTCTGTTTCCTGATCCTTGAACTGTTCCCTGGGATTCTCTGTGCAGTCCTAGGAAGATGTGATCAAGGGGATAAATTGTCAGAATGTCGCAGGCATCTCAAGGAAGCAGCAGATACACTGACCAGGAGACGAGGCAGTGTTTTCCAGAAAGACCACCCCTTTGCAGTTAGTGGCATCTCAGATTAAAACATTACCCCAGTTACTGCCTTTCATTAATGCCTGAGTTGAGGTTGGTCCTATGTGTGAGCAAAGGAACTGACCAGAAGACTTTAATAACTCGGGGGATTGACTGAGGAGTGGGTGCCTTTTAATGAGGAGTTAAAAGTTCCTCTACCTTGGTTTTTCAACCTCCGTGCTGTTGACATTTGGGGCTGGATGATTCCTTGTTGGGGTGGGAGGGTGAGCTTTTTCTATCCACTACAGGATGTTTAGTAAGATCCTTGGCCTTTACCCACTAGATGCCAGGAGCAACCCTCCTCCCAATTGTGACAACCAAAAATTTCTTTATACATTGCTAAATGCCTCCGGAGGGGCAAAATTACCCTCATCTGTGGCCTGTTGAGAACTATTGAGTTACCTGAAGGAAGGAGAACTAACCAGAAGGCTTGAATAAGTTTGCCAGTAGATAGATGGTTTCGGGGACAGCCCCCCTTTGAGTGTCAAACTCTCTCACCATCCAGGCCTCCTAAAATCTGGCTCACATTTGCTTAAATGTATTATCTTAGGCTCCAGTGGCAAGTTCCTTCCCCCTGATCTGACCCACACACTCTGCAATATCTGTGTGGCGCTTTCCTGTCTTCCCTGGTGCTGGGGGAACGTTCTGCATCTTGGTCCGGCATCTGTAGACCGGGCCAGCCCTGTGGGCACCTGCTCCACCGTGTCACTGAGGTGTTGGAGACGAGTTCCGGCCCAAGCCCGGGCCTCCTCATCTCAGCCTCCTTCATCCAAGACCGCTCCCACTGATGGCTAATTCTTGGTCTTCTGGTCCACGTCATCCTCAGTGAGTGTGTTAGTTTTCTTTTACTGCTGCAGCTTGGTGGCTTAAAAGAACACAAATGTATTCACTTACAGTTCTGGAGGTCTGCAGTGTGGTGTGGGTCTCACTGGCCTACAGTCAAGGTGTCTGCAGGCAGTGTTCCTGCTGGAGGGTCTAGGAGAGAATCCCTCCCTCGCCTTTTCCAATTTCTGGAGGCTGCCGTGTTCCTTGGTGTATGGCTCCCTTCCCCGTTCCTCAAAGCTGGTAACAATCTGTCTCTCTGACCACTCTTCCTCGTCCCATCTGCCTCCCTCTCTGACCACAGCTGGGAAAGGTTCTCCACTTTTGAGAACCAAGGTGATTAGATTGGGGCCACCTGGATAATGCATGCTGTCTCCCCATCTTCAAGTTCTTAGCTTACTCACATGGGCAAAGTCCCTTTTGCCATGGAAGGTTTTGTCACAGTCCTAGGAAATAGGACATGGACATCTTTGGGGACGGAGAACCATCATTCTGCCTGCTGTAGCCATGAGCCCTGTCTGGGCTCTATCCAGCCCGCTCAGACTCTGTGCCTCCATTCCCGGCAGTCTGAGCACAGGTTACAAGCTCAGTGTCTTCAGCTCTGGCAAGTTTGGCTCAGCGGTTAGAGCGTCAGCCTGTGGTCCAGAGAGATCCTGGTTCGGTTCCTGCTAGGGGCTCGTACCTCGGTTGTAGTTTGTCCCCGGCCCTGGTTGGGTTGTGTGGGTGGCAAGCACTCGATGTGTCTCTCTCGCATCGATGTTTCTCTCTCCCTCCCACTCTATCTGAACAAAAAAATGGAAAAATGTCCTCAGGTGAGTATTAAAAAAACAACAACAAGCTCAGTGTTTTCAGAAGGCAGCGTCATTAGGTTGATCTCAGCGTAGTATCAGCCTCAGCACAATAACAAGCAGTTTAGCACCCTTGATGGCACTACCCAGGGTCACCCATTTAGTCTACCTTCCTTCGGTCGCCTCTGGATGAGTTTGGCCACTCCCACCAGCCCCCAATCCCTTTCCTCTGGTGGCCAGAAATAGGAAACTGCAGGCTGACTCCCCAGGAGGAGAGTCTAAAGATAGGTCAGCCCCACCACGTCCTTCTCCTCTCCACCACCCACAGCAGCCCAGATGGCTCAGGACCAGCTGGTGTCTCCTCCTGTTGGCAGCACCAGGTGTAGAGGGTTGTGCCAGCCCACCTACCACACCCACACCTGTGTCTCCCCTACACCCCACCCTCTCTCTACTCCCCACAAGGCACCCAGGGCCATAGACTGGCTTATGTAGAATATGGACGATGAGCCAACACATTAACTCACTGGATCCTCATAACGACCCTGTGAAGTAGGGGCGACCGTCCTTTCTCACAGGTGAGAAGACCGAGGCACAGAGGTGTTTAGTAGCTCGTCCAGTGAGCGGATGGCAGTGGATCTACCCCAGACACGCTGACTCCCGGCCTCTGGGTCCAGGGCAGAGGAGCGCACCCGACCAGGGAGGTGCCTTCTAATTGGGAGCCCAACGCCAAAGGCCGGTTCTGCTCTGCTCTTACTGGCTGAACTGTTTCAGGCAAATAATAAAACATCTCGGAACTTCAGTTTCCTCATCCACCAACTGGGGTGGCAATACCATAGCCACAGGATTGTAGGGGGGATCAAAGTAATCTGGTGGAAGGTACTATTACTGTGCGAGCGTGGGCTTCATGCTGGTTGAGAACGAACTTGGGACAGAGAGCTTACTGGCCCTCACGGGGCACCCCTCGGCGACACCTATTCCTTCCGTACAAGGCTTTTCATTCCTTGCCACTGCCTAGATCAGGACCATATCAGCTCTTGCTTGAACCTAACAGTATTCTTCTATCCCCAGATTAGTCTCAATGAGTCACAACTTGCCCTGCTATGCCCGAGTTACAACCTTCTGTGGCCTTGCTTGCTATGGGAGGGTCAGCGGGGCTGGCTGGCCCTGTGTGGCTCGTCTGGAAGGGACTTGGACACTTAGCTCCTCCCAATTGCCTCCATGGGGCTAGACCTTCCCACATTTACAGAGAAGCTGGAAATCTAGGTTGTATGTAAAATGTCCATATTTTTTAAAGTTGGCTCAGATGAAAAAGAAACACTCGCATTATCCAGGTCAAGCAATAGCCATCTGCAGGGTGAATGGAAGCTCTAGTGCTTGACCTTTGGCACAGAGGCTAAGTCAAAAATCAGAGCTTTGCATCCTAGCCTTGGAACGATTCGACCATCACCTGCCTTTCCAGTCTTGTCCCCTGCTCGGGCCCTCGGCTAGCCGAGAGTAGTTGTGCCCATGCACCCTTGCACTCAGGCTCTGGAATGCCCTTTCTTCCAGCTCCCCCAGCTCCACCTTGAACGTTATTTTCTTCTCCTAGAAGATTTACCCCAGTCAGTGAATAATTACGTACCATCTACTTCCCCTGGGCCTCCACTGTGCTCTCACAGGTTTTTACAGAAAATCCCTGTAATGTCACCTCTGTTGTGTTTTCTGCCATATCCTGGCATGCACACCCGTCAGAAGGCTTCACAGAGAAGTTGTGATACTGAATTATAAGCAACTTGTGTGCAGAGCCCCCTACCCAGCGCCACCCCTACCCCCACTACCAGTAAGCCCCAGGATCTGCCTTGTAGGTGCCAGATGAATGTCAAGGCTTCTCAAAGGCTTTGACTTGATGGGACTAAGCTGAGTTTATCCCAGGGAGGCTAACCCAGAAGGCCGTGGCTATTGACTCGCCCAGTTTAAACTGCATCCTTGTGTTTGCTACAAGCAGAACAAAACTCCCCCTCCTCTCTGCAGCCCCTCTGTAAGGCTCCACTCTTCCCACTGCGTGGCCAGCATCCTTGGTCTCTGGGGGTCTCAGACCAAGGGAGCTGAATAAACAGAGCGCCCTCACCCCCTTCCTTGGCGGGTAGTGGATCCAGGTGCCAGCCCTGCTGATGGTGAGGAGATGCCAGTATCGCCTGGGATACAGCTCCTGGATTTGGTGAATCCAAATGAGCACTGATATTACTACCATTTTAAAATGTGAGATCCCAGAGGGGCCTCATTGACATCAAGATCAAAGGAGGAAACAGGCCCAGAGAAGTGTTTGTTGCTCCAGGACAATGCAGGGTGTGCCCCATCCAGGATCCAGGACATCGAACTCCAACTTTGAAGACTTTTCCCCATGAGAGCGCGCCTCCTCGAAGACCTAGAGACCTTCTTTGCAGCTCTTCCCAGACTCCAGCCACGGCTTTAGCTCGCCACGGACCCCAGCTGCTGCGCCACCGGTGGCTCCTGCACGTGCAGAGACTGCAGACGCACCTCCCGCCGGAAGAACTGCTGCTCCTGGTGCCCCGGGGGCTGCACCAAGCGCGCCCAGGGCTGCATCTGCACAGGAGCATCGGACAAGTGCAGCTGCTATGCGTGATGGGGGGGAGACGCTGCTCCCCGATGTGCACAGAGCAACATGTACAAACCTGTATTTTTTTTGGTAGCACCCTGATCGGTTTGCTACATTCCCCCCCTTTTTTTTCCTATAAAATACATGAATGATAAAAGAAGAAGACTTTTCCCCCTCGTAGCCATAGATTCCCCTCTTTCATTTGAAATGTTCTGATAACACAGGTGAGATGGCACAGGGCCACATTTTTCACAAACTCCATTCCTGCAGCAGTGCAAAAGTGGCCTTCCAGTCTGTCTGGAATGCAGCATCGAGTGTCGCCTGCGCTGCGCCCCCAGCCACCCCTCAGTGCCGTTTCCTTAGCGGAAGGCGGACGAGGGACATGCATCCACACTGCAAACCAGCGAGCGGTTGGTCACAGGGGTGGGCAAAACGACAAAACTTCTGCAGGTAATGTGCTGCCAGGCATCTGTTCTGCTCTCTGTCATAGCTTGCCAAATCCCCTGGGAACATTTAAGTGAGGAAGAGTTACCATTTCAGTAAAAAAAAAAATGTTTATACTTATTCTATTTTTCTAAAACAAGAGATTATGCCATTTCATGTTCATGCCCACCCTGGGAACCTCTTCTGCAGAGCCAGTCAACACTGGGGCCTACGGATGCTAGGATCATTATCTTTGTTTTACAGACAAGGAAACTGAGGCTCAAGATAGCTCAGAATCACTCCTCCATTCATTTATAGTCAAATCACCGAGACACTGTTCTCAGCTCTGGAGATACCATGGTGAGCTGGACAGACATGGTCCTTGCCCTCGAATTCCTTCCAGCCTGGCAGGAAAGAGACTGTCGATAGTTAAATGGAATTGGAGGGAAACAGAATATGCCACCGTTTTCTGCGGTATGCCATCGAGAAACAGTAGACGGAAAAGGAGCTCTCTGCCTTCACCCTGTTTGCCCAAAAGCCAGGCATAAATTTCCCTGGTGAAGGTGTCTCCCTTCCCTCTCGTACTAGGAAGGGCAGGCGGACTCTTCCTTACTGGAGAGGACTCTAGACTCATCTGTCCAGAGGCAGCATTGAGGGGAATCAATACAACAAATCTTACTGCACCAAACTTATTGTCCACGACTTGCCCTCATATTGACCTCCCCACAGTGTATCACCCTAGAGGCTCAGAACCCTTTTCTTGTGCCTGGTCCCTTCTCTATACATTTATTCTCTTTGGTATAAGCCTGTGGGTCTGACCATCTCTGTGTGGGTTTTCAGTTCATTTCGGTAAGGCCCTTCCTATGCAGAATAACCCTTTTTATCCTGCTCATCATCAGTCATTGGCAGCTGAGTGTCCTGGGTGCCAGTCACAGAACCCGAGCACAGAGAGGAAAAAGTCTCCCTCCCCTACAAAATCTTCTGACACTTTGTCCCGAGCCCTTTCTCCCTGTCCATGAGGGATGCCACACTCCTAAGTCAGCAGTGAATGAGATTTCACAGGTCAGTCGCTTAGTCCTCAATCCCTATCTGCTCTTTCTACCCAAACCTGACCTTGTCACCACCCTGGCTGCTTCCCTGAAACATGCTGTATTTTTTGAGGTGAGGCTGGAGACCGCCTCGAGCTGGAAGGCCAGCGCTTTGGGGGTTTCTCAGCAGCAGCTTCCAGGGCCAGTGGCCCAAAGCAAGCTGTGTGGCACTTGTCATCAATGTGGTAATGATGTGGCCCAACCAAAGGAAACCAGACCCCAAGAGACAAGGCTTCAAAGCAGTGTTTGCTTACAGTACAATTAGTTAGTCATGCAAACAATGTCAGGCTTGGATGGTTTCTGAGAAATGCCAAGCATTTCTTAAGAACATTATCATTTAAAGTTAGCCTTGTGACTTCTGCTCATCCAAAGCATGTTTGACATCCAGGCCCAGAATTCTTCACCGCAGCCCAGAATGTCATGTCTCTATCCTATGATTTAGCTCTGGCGGCTTTTGTTATCACAAAACCAATAAAATCCAGCAGGAGAAACCACAACGACTCTGATGAAACAGGCAGATGGAGACAGAAAGACAACTGATAATGCAAAGACGTGTGTGTGTGTGTGTGTGTGTGTGTGTGTGTGTGTGTGTGTGTGTGTTTTGAAACTTTGGAGTCACCATGGGATACTGCAGAGGGGGCTTTGCCAGGCCCTAATGGTGGACCCTTGATAAATGTCACAGGATGTCATGAGTACCTAGCCACAGCCCCTAAGGCCCTCAGCACTGTGTGGCAGGTTAATAACCCAGGTGTGCCTTATGCTCCCATCTGCAGAGGTGGTTGCTCACTTTGGCAGTTTGTTCTGAAGTCTGCCCCACCTGCCATGGGCCAGTCCCTCTTCCCGACAGCGGGTCCGGAGCTCTATGAGAGTGAACTTGAACCCTTCCACAGCTGGGTTACAAGCACGTTCAGATGTGGCCGGTAGACTTGCGGAGGGTGGGGAAGCTTGTTGCAAGTGAGGCTCCAGGAGGGACAGTGAGGATCCCAGTGGACAGATCACCATGGCTGCTAAGGAGCCCGGTGGAAAGACCAGACTCAGCACCAAGACCTGGGTCCTGGAAGAAACTGTTGTTGAGGGCAGGAAACCCACCCACCACGCCTGCCACCAACCCCGCCTTCCAGCCCACAGGGCATCTCTACCGTGGGGCGTCCCTGGGAGCAGCTGTGTGGGAGAAAGGGCAGGGAGTGCGGGCTGGGAGGCTGCCCCTGCTGTCGTTACCTCTGCTAAAGTTGCCTCTCTGAGCTCAGGACAGGAGCAGGTGGTGAGGTGGCCAAGAGTCAGCCCATGCTCCCGCCATACCCTAAACCTGGACAGATCCTGGTGCTGCTGTGGGCAATCACGGGCCAGGGAGGATGGCAGAGATGTGGACAAGGCCCCATGGCCAGAACAGACTGGGAGAAGCAGGTCATTGGGAGTGAGCAGGGGAAACAGAGAGCAGAGGAGCAGAAAGGTTCCAGGAGCAGCAGTGATGGGGTGTGAGCTGCCCCCTCCACCCCTACAGGGGGTCAGGAAAATCAGATCACGGCCACAAAGCAGGTGCCCCCCCCCACCAGGATCACACTTCCAGTGAGAATTCATGTGGGCTGTTGACAATTAAGAGCATTCAGATTCTTAATACCTAGGTGGTATTACTGCAAAATTGATCTAAAAAAATTTTTTATCTTCACTCAAGGACATTTTTGCATTTACCAGCATATAGAGCAGGAGGGAGAGAGGGAGGAAGAGAGAGAGAGAGAAGCATTGATGTGAGGGAGACACATCGAGTGGTTGCCACCTACATGACCCCAACTGGGTCCAAGGACAAACTGCAACCGAGGTACATGCCCTTAGCGGGAACCAAACCCGGGACTCTTTGGTCTGCAGGCTGACGCTCTCACTGCTGAGCCAAACCAGCCAGGGTGCAAAATTGATTTAATGACAGTGTTTAGGGGCGTTAAGAAAGAGAGAAAAGGAGAAGCATGACTACATTAAATAGATACATAAATAGGGAGATGCATCCTAATTTCAGAAATACTAGAAAATGGTAAACACACACACACGCGCACACACACACTTCTTCGCAGAATTGAAGTGACTGTCATATAAACCTAGGACATTTACCCTCATGGGCCAGAGAGGAGTGCGTGCTGAGGTTCCATGAGGGATTCGGATAAGGGAAACACTGATGTGTCTGTTTTCCACAGCGGTTGCCGTTGGGGAAGGCCTTGCTTTTCGGAGTCTCATGTTTGAGGGGCCTCCGCAAAGCCCCTGGGCTCCCAAGACTAAACTTTCCAATTCAGAAAAATTAGGAAGCTTCAGGAATGTTATCCACGGGCCACGTTTTCCTCAGAAAAATTGCATTTAAATTGAATTCATTGTAGTGAATTTTAGCTTGTTATTTAAAGGAATCATATGGTAGCTTCTTTTCAGAATTTAAAAAACTCTTCAAGGAAGTAAACATTCATCCCCTAGTTCATATTTCAATATTTAAAATTTTTTTTGGTTAGAATTAGGTTCGTTTATTGTTTTCTGTGTCAAACGAGTTATGTAAGGACTGGTGTATGTTTGGACTTTTCCTTTTGTGATGTTTCCTGACCAGTGGGGGGTGATGTTTTCCCCCTTTTGAGCTTTCGCCTCCAAGTCCTCTTCGTGGCATTTGTTGGGCGTGAACCCTGTCTTTCGGCCCATTAGCAATGTCCCCTGCCTCCCGCAGTGTGGGGCATCACTGAGCTGTGAGATGCCACAGAATACGCTATAGTGGTTGAGAGCTCAGGCGCAGAAGCAGAACCGCCTGGCTCCCACCCTGGCTCTGCCAAGTAATAAGCTAAATGAGAACGTCACCTTTCCCTGAGCCACAGTTTTGTCCCTTGTACAATGAGAGTGATGGTAACAGCACTGACGTCAGTGCCGTGGTGAGTCTTCAGTGGGCAAACAAACAAATGGCCCTTAGAACAGAACGTAGCACATAGTAGGTGCTCAATAAACGTGAACTACTAGCTACAAGACAAGCAGGGCCAACCTGATGTCATACAGTGTGAGGAGGACTCATAAAGCACACACCGGTCCTAGAATATTTCCCCACCATCCTGCCAAAGTAGATGTCCAACCATTCACGTCACTCCTGGGCCACACTGTTGTCTCTCAGGGGCTCCTGCTAGAATGCAGACATTAAATCTCCTGAGGGTAACGTATTCGGAGTCTGTAGCTGACACTGTACAGAGAGGGTTGTTTTTGCACAAGTGGTGCCTTGTGAGAAGTGTCCTGGTAACAGAGAGAATACACACCCAGTTTGGATCCAAGAGACTGGATGAAAGTTTGGTGCTCATGAAAAGAGATTTTGAAAATAATTTTGAGGGGAAATACATTCACATGGTAAAAAACAACAACCAGAAACCAGAGGTATAAGGTACACAGTAAAAATTCTTATCCCCCATCTGCCTAATTCTCCTCCAAAGTCTCCATCTCTCTTTCCCCACCACCTGTGTCACACACACACACACACACACACACACACACACACACACACACACACACAGT